GACAGAGTAATACCAATCGGGTTTTTCTGGGTTTGCGGACTTTGGAAGACTACTCTGTCACGATCAATATGCAAAGAGAAAATAATAATAATAATAATAAGGTTCACACATACAAAAGCCATTCATTGACTTTTGAAGCCGACGGGATTGACTGGTAACAGGGTCATCATGATTTTGGAAATGGGAGTAAACTACAAAAACATCCCACTTCTTTTCTGGTTGTCACTACTCACTTTTTTGCCACTCACAAACAAAACAGATTTTAATTCAAACGGAATGAGACATTGTAATAACATTGTATTTTCGTGTGTTATAATTGAGATAGATAGGAATATTTGTCATTTGTTCAATTGGGGGGATTTGGTTTTCACGGCCCTCAAATTTTAGAAATTAAAGGATACTTTATCTCTTTGGATATGTTTTAAATTAAGAAGAAAAAATTCATTTGTCGATATACGGTTGCATGTCGTAGTCTATCTAACATATAAATACGAGCAGAAGTATTAATAGCGTTTAGATTCTTGTATTTTATCATTTTTATGTGTTCATTAATCGATTTAATATGCATTTTGATTGTAATATATTGTTATACTTTGTGATTTTGTGTGTTAATGAAGGGGTTTAATATGTATTTTCATTTATATTGTTGTTGAAATTACGCTAGTCGAAATCTCAGATGGTTTGGCGCCAACACTAACGGTAACAAGTGGTGATTCCGTAAATCTTGGTGATAGTCGATCATAAGTGAAAAAATTGTTCTGGTAAGATTAGAAAACAAACATATAAGCATATGGGAAACTTCAAGCCAGAGTCATAATTTTCGATCAAAATACTAGAAGAGAAAAAGCTCTGGCCATGATATCTAATCATACATTCAGAGTAGGCTGCAGTAAAATTGTGGGTGTAACAAATTATAGTAGTATGTTTTAAAATTGTGGATAATTATTTTCTAATAATTCATTCATACTCATTATTAAGAATATATATCATACTAGATTTGTTATTGCGATCAGTTTGAATCACGTCAATATGAATTCATTTTAAATGGTCACGTTATCAGTATTAATTTGCAAGTAAAGCGAATAAATTAAGATGGTTTTATGAAAATAAATCACTGAAGTTTACCAGATAAAAATAAAAAAGTAATTTTAAGCAAAAGCCCCTAACTTCATTCATAAATAATATTACAATGAAATTAAGTAATGAAACGACGTCGTTTTGGACGCCTGGTTGGCAAGAAATAAAAATCAACTTTAGTAATTGACAATTACAGCCTTGTTTTAAATGGCTGATGTCATGTTAACATATTAACCAATTAAAGAGCTCAATTTAAATTTGATGACATCGTGTGAACTAATGGACCAATTAAATTACTCAATTTAATTTCTGACTAATCACGTTTAAGATTCTAAACTCACCAAGAGACATTTAGTTATGTACAGATTAATTATTAAAGCTTATCAAAGTTTTACTTAATTTAGTTTTACCTTGCCTAGTGTGAGAAAAGAAATGTCGCTATTCGTATATATGAGTCAACTCTAATATTGTTGTTATTCTAAAGAACAATAAAACTCCAAAAAAAATTCTCTGACATAACGTAAAATATTTTAATTAGTTATCTCATGTATTGGTCCTTGACTTCCATTCAATCAAGTATATTCTCGGTCTTATTTTTTTTGTATCTTAGTATCTTGAAATTGCCCAGTTAGTCTATATTTTTTAGCTGTAAAAGTAAATCATTAAAATGAGACGTATGGAGAGTTAAAATCGCCATTTCCCTGTAATGCACGTAATTTGACAAATGAAAACAAAAATGCATGAATAACCCTCGAGTCTTCATCAACCTCTTCTCCTCCTGTACAAGAATGCCAAAAATCACATAAAAAGATCGATCGGGACATTCCCAAAAATCACATCATGAGCAGCATACAGACATTGAAGCTTAGCAGACTAAACTTGTACGTATTTTCAAAGTGATAATGAAAAGACAATGAACCCCTAGAATTGTAACTTTCACAATTTTTTTTCCGTAACCAAGAATAACGTAATTTGTTTCAATTAATAATTATAATTCTTCCGTCTCAAAAGAAAAAAAATTAGTAAACTCTACTGAATTAAAACAATACAAGGTGAATTATTTTTTGATGAAGGATGTATTCTATCACGGGAAAGAAAAATGAAGAAAAAGTGAAAAAGAGTATCTTATAATTTTATGAAGATTGCGATCGAGAATCTCAATTTTACCAGTGGCCAACAGTTTTGGACCTTTTTATCTGTTGATGAGTAATTTAAAAGAAACGAGCTTTGTCTTAATATAAAAAGAAGAGTAATTTGAGGAAATAATAATATCTAATGATACACAAATTATTAATAAATAAAATTTAGACATGGCTTAATCAATGAAAATCTATTAGATCTCATGACATCATCAAACAACGTTAACCCTTAAATTGATCCCTCAACTAATCGTATATAAAGATGGTCCAAAAACTTTTAGCTTACGTGTTAAACAATTAAAACATGCTTAGTACAAAAAGAATAGAAAAAAATAATGCTAGTTGTAGAATATTTATTTTATGCCAAGTTGGTTTCGTATATATAGCGACAATTCATCAAAAACAGCTACAAAATTTGCAAAATTGAATAGGTTAAACGGCTCAACTGGCAAGGAAACACAAACTGTTTTTAACACTATATATGTATATCTGTACATTCAATTTGCTTACTTGTGAGTTATAAATTACACTATATTTTTATATCAAATTAAGTACTCACTCATCTCAAAATGGTTCCTATTTATTTTACTATTTTGGGAGAAGGTGTATCAATCATATCCAAAGGAATATCAAGAAATGAATTTTAATCGTATCGATAAAAAACTGCGGCTGCCTATTATTCCTTTGGAGATTTCTAAAGGTTTCTGAGACGAAAATGACGAAAAATACTTGCGAAAAAAGGTTTCAAGTTGCAAGGTAATTGATTGCATCCAATTTATTGCATGTTGAACAACTCTTTTTTTTTTCCAGTGAAATGAGGTATATATGAAAAAGAAATGTTCCTCTAAAACCGAAATAATCATCTAGTTTAGAATTTTATCTGTAATATTAAAACTAAAAATCCAAATTAATTACTCCCTCCGTCCCATAATTTTTGTCCACTTTGCCTAAAAAATTTTGTCCCAAAATTATTGTCCAATTTGACTTTTTATGGATCAAGTTACACATTTGTCCTTAGTAAAAAACATTATCCATAAAATCTTAGTGGTTAAACAATTACTTATGTAGGGGTATATCCGGTTATTTAAGGTAAAATATAGTTAAGTTTGGCTAAAAATAAAATCTTTCATTTTAGTAAAACTGGACAATAATTATGGGACGGAGGGAGTAATAATTTTGTAACAGAGAAAGTATATGATCACGAACAAACCAAATTTTCTTGGGTTTAATTCATATGAGAGCTCTACAAGTTGAAGTTTGTGGTTTAAGTGTCCCATTAACCCCTTTTTTTTTCTTCAAAGGAATCAAAGATTATACAGTAGAATTAAGATGCATATTCTGATACAATTACCTCATATTGGGCCTGATTTACTCATAAGTCTCTATTCTAGTATCCTAAGTGATTTCTTACGTTAGTGACACTTTTCCACTCTCAAACAATACGATTGATCAAAAAAAAAATTTTATAAAAAAAAATGCGAATATTAAAAATGATATTCTTTCTTCTATTATTGAGCATCCCCAAATAAGTTCTTCATGTGAAAATATGCCTTGACTAATTAATTTAAACTACTATAATTTTTATTGGCCTTGTCATCAACTCATCATATATATGCTCGTGTGACTATCAATCATGCACTAAACAAATGTGGTGGACCCTCCATGGAATTTTTTTCTTTTTTTCTTTTATGGGTTGGGTTCGAACATATTCCAACATTTTGATTCAAAGGGAAAAAGTTGAAAAGAAATAAATAAATAAAAAGGGAAATGAATAATGGCTAAAACTTAAAACGTTAGGGGAAAAGGAAGCAGGAAAAAAAAAATCAAAAAAATCTTTGTGCTGGGTAATACCTTCTGCCATGGATTTTAGGGTTTCCTTTACGTGATTTAGTAGAAGTCATATTTGTGCACAAGAACAGAAAAATCTTAAGGAATTTTGTACCATCCATGGTTAGGAGGAAAGTGAGCTAATTATATAAGCTCGTAACCTGCTACAAAGAAGCCATTGATTTCTCTTTTGTAAAAGTTACAAATTCTCCTTCCGATTATTGATTACGAGGAACAAAATATGTACCAACCATATTTAGAGTTCGATGAATTACAACCTAAATTTGGTCTATCTTCTTGCTTTTATAGGTTCAAAATTCTTTATAAAGTTTTGTTTCTAGAAAACTGATTTGCGGGTATATGATCATTTGTTTTCTGAGACACATTTCACCACTCACGTAAGTAGTAAACTGCACAATTGATGTGCGAATGGTGAGAAGTTTCTCATTAAACAGAAAATTCTTAATCGTGTAAAATTTATCGCGTTATATGACACTATATTGTATCTTGACAGATAAGGGCTACACAATAATGACATATATTACTCAAGGGATCAAAAAACCCTTAGGTACTTTAATAAAAGAAGAGTCACGAATTATAGGCTTGATGAACTGTCTTAACCGACATAAGTTCTTCATTTACAAAAGGGATTCAAGAGAATAAAAATCCGCAAAAAGAGCTAAAGAAAAAAAGAGGAATTAGGGTTTGTTATTCTCTTTTCTCCCCTGATTTGGTGGAATAAAGAGTCCATTAACTTATAGCCATCACAAGTTTAATTACTTGATGACTAGTAACTCAACGAGATCAAGGAGTTTATGCTAATTGATTTGAATAATTGAAATTGGCAAATGTACGAACTTCGGCATGCAAAATGGTACTAACTTAGTGATAAAGGGTCATAAAAATCAAGAAATCGCACAACACCATCACCATGGGATGCAATGAAATGGTGAAAATTTACCTTTAAAAAAGAAAAAAAGATTAAGAATCTAGGATACCAAAGATTAGTTCTAACTTGCATTCAAGATTAAATGAATCCTTGTACTTTTTTTTCAATCTAGATAAAAAAAAAAGTGCAATTTGAGAACTTTCAAAAGATCAGAAATATGAAGAATGAGGCCATATCCACACTTCAAAAAGAATAAGTAACTATATATACCAAAATGTAGGGGAGAAATTGAACACGAGTTGCCTTACTTTAATACTAAGTTTCCATAAGTATATATTGGGAGAATATTTATCTGGCTTTATGCTGCCAAAAAAAATCAGTAAAATAAAAGGACCATATTCATCATTTTCAACTTTTGCTTTTATATATCAAACTGCATCTCACTAAATAGTTGGAATATTATTGTCCCATCCTCCATCGTGTTGATTTTGTTCCAAGAGATTCTTCATTTCCTTTTGGCACAAGATATGGTAGTTAATTCAAGCAAATAAATATCTTAGCTTAGCATTAATTCTGATTTCTGAAAGATTATTCTTCCAAAATATCAATTACTTGTATCAACCAAAAAAAACAGTGAGGAACATAAACCTAACAGGTGTAACTCCAGACATGATATATAGTTCGGTCTTTTTATTATATATTATATTTGGTTGATTTGTTCTTTTAATTTATTTGATTTTATATATGGAGTAATAGATTATTTTTAAGCAACAAATGTGATACAAAATAAGTTTGTGATGATCTCTACAAAGAAGTTTTTTTTTTTTTTTAAGGAATGTAACTCATACTTGAGCTTCTCCTGATTTGAGACCATGCATTGTTCGAACGTGATATAATTAAAGTTATATTTTTGTACATAACGTGTTAATTTGATATATCAGGCTATCGATGTCTTATTTATTGTACAAAACAATATATATATATAATAATAATAATAGAATATCAAGTCAAACATGTATGAAAAGTGGTATACATATTTGATACTCCCTCCTCCGTCCCATAATTATTATCCAGTTTGAATTTTTATTTTTAATTTAAATTGTACTAAAAGTGAAATATCAAACTGGACAATAATTTTGGGACAGAGGGAGTATGTTTTTAGCCGATTTCAAATTAGTCAATCACCCTAACCCAGAAACGAGTGATCAAAATCTTAAGTCAAAAAAGAGCTTGAAATATATGAGCATGCTTTTGCCCAAAGTCCTGGACATTCTTGGCCATTTCTTTATGCAAATTGGAGAGCTTAATTAGCTTCTTGCGAAAAAAAATAAAATAAAATTCATGCCTATTGAAGAAGGATTCCCATTGGATTTATTGTTATGTCCATTACAATTGACTAACTATTTCTGTTGATAAATCATATTCATCATTTGGATGTTCTCCATGTGCGTTGAAAATGCAATAAAGCAAGCATTTAATTTGATAGGAACAAATCAATCCAATGTGTTAGTTTTTTCCTACTTATTATTTATTTATGTATAAAATAAGATAAAGTTGGCGACACTAATATCTTCGTTCTATCGTTCCAATTTAATCTGATTTCCTAGATGAGATAATAAGATAAAGTTGTTTTTCCGTGTATGAATGACAACTTCATTTTTTTGTAAGCTGTAAATTCTTTTAGTCACAATCTTGCTAATATTGCTCTATCCAACAGAATGTCACAATGTTAAGAAGGAAAGGAAATGCCCCGTTGTGGTTGGAAGAGTCTTTTAAGGCAGATTGTTATAGCTCTATGTAAATCGCTCGTATATTTTCACTCTTTTGCTTCCTTATAAAATGAATATCGATTTCGTCAAAAAAAAAAAAAGACAAACGTATGGACCAATTTACTGGATTCTGGGAATGGAGTTATGCACTGACCAATACCAACAAGGCCAATAGGTTCATTTTTCCTCCTCTTTTTAAGTCTCCAAGTTTTATAGAATGGAGGATAGTCAGTACCGGGAAGGTCGAAGGTTCGATTCTCGCTGAGCCATCCGATTTTTTTATTTTTTATTTTTATTTTTTAAAAAGAAAACTACCAGATCCGACAAGATGAAAGAGAATGTAACAACATTATGCTAGTTATCCCCCAAATGACTTTAGTGTACAAAGAATATGCCACAGTTGAAGAATGAAGTTCCAGGTCCATGAAAATGGGAAGTAACGCTGACGAAGTAGCAAAGAAAACAACTTCCAATTATCGGGAAACTACTTTGTACAACAAGGAGATCATGCCTAACCTTTTCTCTAGAAGTCACCTCCAATCCTAAAACATGTAATGACAACACTAGGTGAACGCATAAACCATACACTACAGATTTACCGAGGAATGATAAGATATACAGCCACCTCCACAAACCCTATACAGCTTCTCTTCCTTGATCCTTGGCCAGAGTTGAGTCACGAAGGAAAGATGACAATGTCACGTCTCCTGTATTAATGAGCGTGCAACAATGACCAAAACCTTGGTCAGAAACTACAGACTGCTGCGAGTCTGAAGATCACACAACCATATCTCCCTTCAGTTGTGCTCACCCTCCTACAAACTGCCCAGTTCGAACTGTATCCACTCTATCGATGACGTCTAATGCTTTCATGCGATCAATATCAAAGTCAATCACTGGAATTGATGATGGCCTTCTGATGGGGAAGACCTCCTTTTTAGTTTCGTACGTTGGAGAATGGCTGTTACTCTTCGTTAACCTATGATTTTTTATCAACCTAGTTTTGGCAGTATCAAATTCTTGACTTTTACTTATTCCAGGAGTCAGCTTCCTCTTGCTCACATCACGAAGCATCTCATGGTCCTCGACGGTCAAGGTTGGCGAACGACAATTTGGTTTGTCTGGCATCAACTGAATAGTCTTTTGATTTGGGGAGCGGATAGGAGACTTCCCAGGCGATCTAAATCCAGACCTTGATAAGCTGACAAGATGATGAAGCCACACTACCAAATCAAGAATATAAGCTTCTGTCTTCTCCTTATCAGCATGATGAAGAGTCTGTATTCGAAGTAAATCAGTCTGGCCGCTTGTTTTCCGGTTCATTTCCGATCTAAAAGTAAGCAAATACTTCGTCAAAGATGCAGGAAGCTAACATAATTTTCAATAAACATCAATAGAAAGAAATGTCACCCTGTGTTTGCCCATTCTCCAACCCAACCGAAGCCATGATGTGCCCTGGATCAAGCAAATTATCAATTTGAATTAGGAAACAGTCATTCATAAGAAAAAGACAGTATCACAAGGATAAACAAAGGTAAAGATGTGATTAACTACTTAAATCCTAACTACTAACAATTACAGGTCTGTCCAATTACAGGACAGAGCACAAAACATATAATAGGAAAAAATCATTTAAAAGTAAGGTTAACGCAATCTTTACTTTGTTGTGTTGGTAGCCATTGGAACAAGCCAGTGCAAAGTTTTTTCCATTTCAGCTTTAACTTGTTGGATGGTTGCCTGCAACAACACCGATACACAAAGCATTATGGTCTGCATTAAACAATTTTAAGGAACAGTCTTTTCTTATGAAAAAAAAATTAAAAAGTGTTGAAATATCATAGAACAGACATTTAAAAATATTCATCACTCATCAATCATTTTGATGAACTCCTTGCTTGGGATAATTAGACATTCTATGAAACAAGTACCTCTTCACTTAGCTGCAACAATTGCAGTTTAGAACGTAAAGCTAACTTTAAACTTGGAGGCAGCCCTTGATACAAAGCATCTCTTGTATTTGGTGGCACTGAAGTAGAGCGAGTAACCTACATTTTAACAAACAATTAAATTTGGTTATTCAAGATGCAATTACATCAAGATGTTAGACTATGAGTCTTGCTGGAACTGGGACTGAAATATCACTAGAAATAGTGTTTAATTTGTAAAATATAAAAATTACACATAAGAGGGGGAAAAAAAGGGTAAATAACTAATTCATTGTTTCACATCCTTTCTTTGGAGATTTTTCTCAATCTGTAAAAAATTAGCCAATGCATATCTATTTCTGGATTGAATATCATCAGGACCTACTTATTTACTAGTTTTTCTCAACTTAGGTCTAAGTCACCAAGTTAGACTCCTTACATAACTTCGTAAACATACGATTTTTATTACTTTTCACCAAATTTACACATCAAATTTCATCCTGCACACGGAATTGGGGTAAATCATTTGCAATAATTTCCAAAAGCTTTTGTCTTTGCATTATTTAATGCTTCTTTTACCTCCCTTTAGCATTTCTAATCTCTCAATAATCTAATCATTTCTGGAAGTTTAGATCATCAATGCAACTTAACCATATACATTCACTTAACCTTATATCATCACCCTTTTTGCACTTAGTTTCATATGGAGGCATGGGGGCAACTATATATTCCAAACACAAACTTGTCAGATTATTACAAAAACAGAGATAATCATGCCGACTGCACATGAAGGGCAGATAGCCAAGTGATAACGGTAAGAATACGACTTACTAGAGTATCAATTTGCATGATGATGTTTGCATAATGTAATGCAAGGCCAGCAGATCCCAACCTCTGCGTGCAGCTCTTTAATGGTTGATCTACATCTGAAAGTAAGAGGCATAAGAGTAGGATGGCCAAACTACACAATATAAGTTGTGATGGAACAACAGCCAATGCAAAGTCTGACCCCATCCAAAATCCCTCATGGTAATGTGAAGTTCAAGGTCGGTATGACTTGACAACATTTAAACAATTTACTTGCAACAAGTATAAATAATTTATTGGACCAACAGACGCCTGAGTAGTACAAGTGCATAACTGAAACCATGGGTGGGCCTAGAACCGCACTAGGAGGCTTAGACTAGCCCCATTATGTCATACCACTGGGAGGAGGTGTAGGTGTTAACTGTTCTCCGTAAGCTTTATTTAACCTACAGCTGTAGGCATGTGCGAGCATTACCCAGAAACCCAAATAACTATAATCCAGACTAGGTTGATGCCTTGAACTATAAAACATATGCTGACTATATATAAAGGGATAGGAGTGAATGTGACATCCCACATCTCACATTAGGTACAGGTGCAGATGTGTCCACTATCAGACTCCAAATGTTCGTCACATTGAGATACATATTCGAGGGTAAAGAGACAAATCTTGGCACATGCCAATGACTTGCAACTATACATCAGAGTGATGGAAGAAAAATTGTGGTGCGTTAGAAGCAGCAATAATTTAATTAACCACTACCACACAATTAAACTTAGGTCTCGGTCAATGCTAGGTCCAATTACTGGGTCACAGGATTCTATTTTTAAGAGGAACGCAAAGGAGAACGTCAACTGTAGCCACCTTCTCTTCTCTTTCACACAACCTCCCTCCTCCAATTTCTCTTTCCCTACACCTTCCTACTACTCTTTTTCTGCAATGCATTAATATTACATGCTTGTCCTTCATATCACCCTCGCCCTGGTTCTCACAACTTCAAATTCCAATCTTGTCCCTCATCTTGAATCTTGATTGCACAAATGTGGTCATTCTTCAGTATATTTTCATCATGGCTAGTTTTGGAGTTTCAGATGATAGGTAACGGAAAATAAGCTGGGGGTGGACGACACTCAGTCGGCTAAATTCGGGAGATAAAAGAAACGACACCACAATTTTATCAGCAGATTCATGAACAGATCTTACACCCACACCAGGATTGTGCATGCAGTTACACATGAAGCAATAAATCTTAATATGAATGTTTTTCTGCTTGTAGTTTCAGAGAACTGAATAAAACTGACCCATGGGGAGACCTAAAAACTCAAATTTTAGAATTAATACCTGCTGGGCCAAACACAACACGGATTTCCAAATGCAAAAAATGCACAATATCCACAAGCTTCTCCATCACCTGAGATCAAGAAATAAATTAAATAGAGTAAAATTGTTGGATTTCATGAAGAACCTCAATTAAGGAATAGAGACAAAATTATTTGAAACAGATGCATCACTCCACTAACAAGAGTGAAATTTCCATTTCAGTCAACTCTAAGAGAAGAATCTGATATGGCTCTTACCTCTTCCAAAATCTTAGACCAAAGTGACTTCTTCTTCAAATTTCGGACATGCTTCCTTTGACTCTTCAACTCTGCCCTTAAAAGTGTAAGGCTGTCACCTACACAGCAGTTATAGGACAAAGGAATCATTATTAGATAGGATCAGTGACATTCACATAAGAGAATCGGCAATATCCCTGGATATGTTTTGACAATTACAGGTGTTACAATATACAATCATATTAACACACTGACATTATCTTGCTTTGTTGAATTAGAACGTACATTATTTTCACTTTCCTGTAAGATGCCACAGCAAGTCCTATCCAATTGGTTACATAAATTTAAAAGAGTTAAAATGCTGATCATTGAGGATGTTTAGGTCAATTGCTGTCACAGGCAAACATAGCTTCATTGTTATCAGTCTAGCTGCTATGGCTGAACTCATTTTCTTCCGCATCAGAGAGATCTCAAGAACAAACATTGAAAATATTCTACGCCTCACAAGCCAAAAAGATGCAGAGAGTTACGGTAAGAAGGAAAATCCAAACATGCAATGAGAAACTCCAGGACACGTGAACATGCATAGAATGAGTGCCCATTATTTCCACATAAATATCTTCTGTGTAAAGAAACAAAATGCAAATGATTTCTGTCATCAAGATAACAACTATTATCAATCCGAACCACTGAGCTGGAGACGAAGAAAGAAAATAAAGCCATTATACAAAGAAGATGGAAGAATGATCGACGGTGATTTTTTTTTTTTTGAGGGAAAAAAAAAGAGGCATGGTAAGAATCCAGGAAAAAGTTAATCAGTTCAAGCAAGAGTGGAGGATCCTTTATGGCACCAGGTTCAAATAAAGCATTGGTAGAGAGCATCTGTAGAGAATACTTGGAATATATATACAAATTACATCTAGTGGGTCCTAATACCATGGTTCCAGTGTGAACTAACAATTCATTTGAATAAGTCGATGGAGAAACAGTATCAAAGAAGACAACAGAAAGGATTCCTTATTCAAAGCAAGGGACATTGCAAGTCCACTAGTGTAAGGTTAGAGTCGTGAGAACACAAAGTATCGACATTAATATAGTAATGAACCCTAAACTCGTCAACAACAAAAAAAAAAAGCCCCAGATCAGCAGTTTGAAAAAGAATCGGTAAATGGTTCAATCTCAATAAATATATCCACAGCCAAATCTGATCCGCGAGCATCCATTGTAAATTAAAACTTATATGTGTTCAACATTTCTGAGATCTTGTACAAGAACAGTACATGGCTAAATGCAACATTTTCAGAGAAAACCCCTAAACAGAGGATTAAAGTGGCTTACCCCTTTGAGCAGAATTTAGATTATCTTCTTCCTGGGCTTTACGACGGTAGTCTTGCTCAAACCTGTCCAAAGCATGCAATTCATGGTACAGTTCCTGAAGCAAAGCCAAAGTCAGCAGATTTTTTTGACTAACGCAATCAGATCGATCAATAAACTGTGGTTCAGAACAATAAAACATGGTATCATAGAACAAATCAATATGAAAAGCTATAAATGAGGTGCAAGCATCATGTCCCACATTGCCTACGAACTAAAGTGGGCAGATTTTCTTGACTAACGCAATCAGTTCGATTGGCTAAGAAAAACAAAACATGGTATTGTTGAACAAATCCATATGAAAAGCAATAAATGAGGTGCAAGCATCATGTCCCACATTGGTTACGAACTAAAGCCAATCCCTTTTCCCAGGTCCTATGCAATTTCAAATTTGTGAAGCAGCATGAAATTAACCAACAAATAAGTAAAGCAAAAGTGGTGACAACAACTAAACACATTAGAGGTTTAAGTGTGAAAAAAATACACTATATCAGGCAGTTAAAGTGTCTGGAAAGGAGGTCCTGAAAGTTTCATTTCCAACATGGTCTGAGTATGATTTTACAGCAGAAGAAATTGCAATAGATATACTGAAATGAACTATCATATAACATGCCACGTCAACCACTAGGAACATGCATGACAAGATCAGAGATACATCAATATTCAATGTGTAGCACAGCTTGAAACACTGTGGAGTGTTTTCGTGCAAAAATACATCAGATTTCGAAGGCTCCAGAACACTTTAGTGGCTTACATCTCCAAACACTATCTCGCCATACTAAATTTTTTGGAACTCCTATAAATATAACCACATCTCCCTTCCATTTCCTTATTGTCATAAATCATGAAAGCTGATCTGTACGATGACTAATGAAAATCATATTGCAAGAATAAAGTTACAATATCCACAATTCACAAACAGTTATTGTCGGCGAATGTTGTCGAAGCACTCTATGCTACACAAAAATGTCCCTGTGTTCCTGATAGCTACACAAGAATATGGATACAAATGCTAATTAACATATTAACTATCAACTATGGTGCATCCTTTGAAACAAACTGCGCAGGTCATTGCCCAATACAAGTTACACATTTTGCATAATTTTTAGTTCACAGGATGAACCAATAGCCCTGTGCTTTTCGCTCAAGCAGAGAAAACCTCAGTCCTTCATGAGTGCATTGCTCCTTCCAGTGATAGGAGAAACACGTATGGGAAAAACAACCAGTACCAAGTAAAAATCATAGTCTTGTTACAGCTGTTTACTTCAATCAATGATTACAAACTAGCAATTATGCTGGAATTCATCACATTTATTGATAATTACAAAAAATTTATAATTGTAAAACTCGTAATAGTACTTACACTAGATGTAAGAGAATTAAGTTTGATTAAGAGAAAGGAAGAGAAAATTGGTATTTCATGCCTGTTCATACTCTCCGGCTTCAATTACTACTCATACATCAATGCGCACCCGATTGAAACAAACTATCGTTTTTTATTTATAATTTCAATGGGATTGGAGCTTCACTAACCCATTTTTGCTTCAATCAGTACCATTGTGATTACATAAGCACAAATAGCACAAATAGTACCATTCAACTAATGCTCAGAAAATTACATAAGCACAAATAGCACACATGCAGACACATTGTGATTTATACTCACAGCAGTATGTTGAACCAATGTCATTAGCTGCAGCATCTCACTCTCAGCTTCTTCTTTCAATTGCTTATGTGGCGTGGAATCTGATTCCAATCTGCATATCCCACACAGCACTACACAAAGTGTCAAATCTAACTTGAATGCAGTAATCAATACGAGTGGAAACAGATTCTAGGTTATTGCAAGTACTTTTCAAAGTAGCGGTCCAAGTTGTGCCATTGAGGATCTTTACAACGGTTTCCGAAACGAACCACTTCTCCAGAGAACAACTTCAATTCATCCCTATACACAAAAGAAGAAATATTGCATTCTAGCAATCACCACTTAGTGACAGAAACTAAGATACATATGGCTGAGGTAAAAAAGTAACTATTAACACAATTCAGCTGATACCTCTTGTCAGCAGCTGCAAGTTTTAGAAGTTCATCCATGTTTCTCGATATTAGGCGTTGGACACCTTCAGAGGGGATCACTACATCCTTCAAATGTGTGATATTCTCTACGGATAGGGAATTCATGAGATTTGCGCCCTTAACAATTGTATTTGCAATTTCAAAAGCCAGAATTGAAATTTTATTTCCTTTTGTCGTCACACCAGAGGCAAAGCCACCACTGAGGTTCAAGTTTGTCATGCTACTACCAAGCGTGTCCAGCACATCTACTGCCTTCCCCAGACCTGCTGAGCCTGCTTTACCTAAAAACGAACCCACTTCTGAAACCTGTAATTAGAAAACACAATAACAATAGAAAAAGTTTATTCAAGTAACAGTAAATGAAAAACTGAAATCAGAAAGTTTAGGTAAGTAACAGCAATCGAAAACTGACAGTAACATGGGAGCCTGGAATATGATAGCATGACTTTGTCTTATGAATATTATTGATACAATTAATGGCCCCCAATCATACATACCAGAATGCGTGTGGAACGAGCAACACTTTCGAATGTAAAGATAGAGAATGAAATAAGTATTATACTTAAACATGGAGTCCATCAAGAAAGCAAAAGCAATAGCCTCAAGAGACAGTTCAACCACCATACCAAATTGCACTGACAAGAATGATGCAAAAATAAAATATGTTGCACTTTCTCTAATTAATTTCATAAACACAAACATGAAGCACTTTCTTCAGTTTTGTGCTCAAATAGCTAGAAAATTAAACAACTAATTCGTTCCCTAATAATGACTATGACTTTGCATAGTATCAAGTACCATCAACATTGTTGTTGGCCTAGCAAAACAGTAGTCCTACTATTCATCCATTAGCTCTCATGAATTGTCTGTGAAACAGGACTCGAAATCTTCCTGTGCAAAAAACTAAGGGCCTACTCAGATGGAGGGAATGGGCTTGAAAGTATAAATATGATGTAATTTCTTGTTGCTTGGATAGTGTAATTAACATATTCACTATGGTAAATTGTTTGAAACAATCTATGGCTGCACCTACAGTATTTTCGCACCCACAGACAGAGTTATCTGTAAAACTGTAAGTATGGTGGATTTTTGTGGTAGGAATGACACAGAATTATTTTTCATTATTTTTCCCTTTTTTGTTCATTGTGTCCCGTCATCTCTCTGTGCACCATCCTCCATCAATCAACCATGGCTCTTCCTATCTCCATCTCTATCTCCTGTCTAATCACCTCCCTTCCACTTTTTTTTTTTTTTGCTCAAACCGTGATTGCTTGCACCAACAACGCAGCACTGACACTATCGCCACTTCCTGTAGCCACTGAATTTCACTGGCTGGTCTCAACTGCTGACCATCCACCGAGTCTAACTAAGTTAGCCACAGTTAAAACTCAGTAACACTTCTATTAATCACCTATCCACAGGAAGCCTTAAGTCAGGAAATGGTTTTTATCCATTTCAACCCCCAAAACATTATTTCCTCTTTTACTGTTTTGCCGATGAAATTTAACAGGAGAAGGAAACGATTTCAGATCTACAGGCAATAGTATTGTACCACTAGCTGAAAATTCCAAAACCCATTTAATACTGAACCTTGAAGCCATTAAAGTATTCTCGATTCTATTTATGATTTGACATGAAAATGACATCAGTTAAGTGATAAAATAAGGAATTTGGGTTGTTACGCATGAAGCATCTACGTTTTCTATCTTTTCATTTTTTAATTTCTTCCCATCAAAAGAAACTCAGCTAAAAACTTGACAATATACTAATGAGAATGAATCGGAAAGTCTTCAATGGACCCTTCATCAAACATCATAAATGATGGGCAATAATTTAATATTCATTTATTTATCACAATTTCAAGGTTTTTATTTGAAGAGTAAATTAGAAATTTTGCCCGCATGTATACTCATCCTGAATAGAGAACCAAGCACTTAATAATGAATTTAAGATGCCCGATACTGTTCTATAAATCAATTCAACCCACTTCTATTCTCATTGAAGGTCACATAAATCCAGAAAACAACTAGTGGATGGGGAAAATCGACCATCTATTGATGACTCTTGGCTATGTGATATATTAATTTATCTGGTTTCCCGTTTTGATGGCGTAAGTGAACAATGACGAGTAAACCGTTTCAGGACTGCATGAACTTAGTACCACGTGAAGCTAAAAACTGGTCACGTGCACTCAGTCCTCTTACCATAAATTAAAGAAAGTAATTAATTATTGAACTAGTAAGCAACAGCTTCTTCCTCCAAGGTTTTCGCGAGTACATTCGCCACAATTTATGAGAACTGGGGTCAGCATTAAGTATTACTCATATGTTATGAAAAGCAAGTATGTTGTGGAAAGCTTGAGGATCAGGATCAAGATTTCAAATCATCAAATGGGGTATTAGCGGTCCAGCAATAATTTGAAACATTCGTACAGTCATTTCTCTATCTAAATCATTTATTCACATAAAGATTCTCGGATTATTTCAGCAGTAAACTCCAGGACAAGGAATTCGGCAGAAAATGCTTTCCCTCTTAAATGTATGTCTGATCCACTGTACGGAAAATTCCTGGGGCATGTTTGCATTTTCTCCAAAATCTTGTATTTTCTCTTGGGTTAACAGGCAGATATTTAGTGACATCCAAACTTGGGGTTTAGAGGGTAAGGAACACTTCTCAAATTAGATTTTATCATGTTATCATAAGAGCAAATAACAAACATGAATCTATAGAGCAATCATCAAACATAAACATGTGTGGCTTTTAATTGATATGATCTGATTAAAGAGCTATATGCGTTAAACTGTATGCACAAAGAGTACATTTTGCGATTATAAGATTACATTTCAAGACTGTAATAGTTCACAAGACAGAACCTGGCCAACTTCTGATGGTTTGGGAGACCAGAAGGCCAATTTGAGTTATATTGGAGGCCAGCTAACCTTATTGGACACTTTGATGGGAGTTTTCCATGTGTTAGATTCGATGAGCAATTCATTTAACACAAGAACTAGCCCAACAGAGACATTCCGCATCAGTCAAATATCATAAATGAGAGAGTTCATTTCCGAATTCCGAGATAAAATATTAGAAATCTTCTACTTCTATCCCATGTTACCCCTACACGACGAGTCACGAGATGGTCAGCTCCTATTGTCCACAGCATTGTGCAAAAGATTCAGTCCCAATTTAGCCACTATTTCCTATCGTGTATACCAATGGACCAAGAGAAATGAATAAGTGCAGCAGAATTTTACATTGAGTTAAAGAAATTTGCTTCCACGGTGTAAAGAAAAATTAAAGTTACTCGGCTACACCAGGTTCTTTCAGCAAAGTGAAACTATTGATACCCGCCGAATTCTCGTCAGCAGAGCATTTCTTCTAGAAGAAAGAAAACCATTAAAATATCATTGTTCCCACGATCAGAGATCTACTTTGAAGTTAGTTTCAGCTGAGATAAGGGTTTGTTACTGGTAGAGATTCTAAACAACATAAATTACTGATGATGCAAAAAGAGATATTAAATTGCGTTCAAACATATTTATCCGTTCATACCTTTGCAATCGCCACTTGTGTTGGCCTTGCTGATCTAGATTTATTTGACATAGCCCTATACAAGCGAGGTATTCCATCAGTGGCGTCATCAAGATTTGTACCAAGATAACTTGTATTCACCTCAGGAAATGAAAAGGGTTCAGTAAGCTGCTTATCCATGGTTTCGCCTACTGGATGCTGCATAGCATTATTATTTTCTTGCGCAGGGAATCCACGCGACCCATAGGCCATTCCAGAACTATAATTAAGGTGACCATTAACATGCGGAATTATACTGCGCAATCCACTCTCATCTGTGGATCTTCTTGAGCACAGACCTCCCATCACGCCTATAATTTATAGATACCTTTCCAAGATCTCCATCAATTCCTTAATCACCGGAAATCTTCACTCGGCAAACGGTACCTACTTCAGCCAAGTTCAAGAGTCCAAAACACTTTCCCACAAGTACAATGAAAACACTCCGCCTCAATGCATCTCAATGCGATTCATAACAATCCAGCAGAAGATTCATAACAACTCGAAGCTCAACAAAACAGCGGCTCATAAACACCCTAGCAAAAAATAAGATATCAGAAAATTTAATCCACAACCCATGAAGAGTAAATATCGACAAAAACAATGTAGAAACCTCCTCTCTCTACCTCAAGAGGGGAGGAAAAAAAAACAATAGAACACTTTCGAAAAAAAAAAATAAAAAATCACACAGCGATCTTAAGACCTAGAATAAAATCAAATGCCGCCCAGGAAATGAGCATGAGCTGAGGCAGCCATAAACTATCATACAAAAAAACTTATAGACGCAATTAAAAAAAAATTTAAAAAAAAAAACCATAAACACCAACGAATTCGTCAGTCAACCGCCACAAGCAATACTTTAATAATAAAAATCAAAGCATAAAAAGAAAAACCCAGATAGGAGAAGAGGCGAGATTAAAAACTGCTTACCAAAAAACACTCAAGGAGATGGATCTAGAAGTTGATGCAAGCTACTAGAGCTGATTTCAGTACAAACCCAGAGGGCCAGAAAATGGTACAAATGTAAGGAAGAAGACAAGTAAAAGAACGATACTATTTCCACTTAAGTAAGCAGTGAAAGATTGCTCCTTTACTTTCATCAATCAATTGATTCAGTTCATGCCATATATAAGAGTCAAAGTAGTTTCCTTTTTTTTCACTGTCCAGTTTTGGGTTAAAGATTGAATTTTTTTTTTTTTTTTCTTTTCCCTACTGAGGCACAGTGATAATAACTGATAACAATGCTTGACTTTCTGGGGCTAACCGTAGTGAGCACAGGCAAATGAGTCTCTGCCCCCACCTGAGGAGACTTTGACTTTTTAGACCGTAGCCTTTGTTGATGAAATAGGCCCCCCGGAAACTCGTTTATTTTGTGTTTTGGGCTATGTTTATTAAAGCACTACCATAATTGTGAACTATTTCCTTAGGAAGGGAAAAAGTATTATCACATGATATTCTCGCAAAACTATTGATAAGTAACGTGTTTAATGTAACTTTTGTTGAGATTTTTGCTTTTATGTTGCAAGCGGATGCTCGCTCATGTTTAGAGGGGACGAGGAGATCGTGAGCTTGTGTGTGTTTATTGCGGTGAAAAATTTAATGTAACGATTCAAAGTATAATCTATTATAACAGATGTGTCACAATATTACAAAAGGACTACCGAGTAAGTTAGTGATTTTTAACATGAATTCACATAAAACATTATCAGGGCGACTTAATATCTTAGAGGGACTTAAAGAGAATTTCAAAATTTGGATATTCTAAAAACAAAGAAACTATAAAATAAAAAAAATTGAAAAAGAAAAACAAAGAGAGAGAGAGCTAATCTTTCTCCTTATTCATATTTTGGACTAACAACTACAAATCAAAAAAATCTAGATAAGGCGGAGTTAAAAAATATTTTTTCTATCAATTTAGATTAAGTTTTATAAACCCAAAGTCTATAGTAAGGAAAGCTAACCAATTTATTTTTACACAAAAACTCACAAACTCAATCTTGATTTTATTTTAGTATACTAAAACATTTGTTGGATTATCCATAGTACTTAATTAAATGAGCAAACAAAAAGCACACATGTCAGCTCCACAATGAAAATTTTTCCGCCAAAAGGTTTTTCAGTACAAAATGAAAATTGACACGTGGCACTCTAACCATTCAGGAAAAAAAATAAAATAGTAAAAACCTCAACTACTGATCTTCAACAAAAGCCCAAAAGAAAATCCCAAATCACGCCCAAAATCTCGGATTTCCTCAATTAGCAGCCATTATTTGGAAAAATTATCAACAACAATTCAAAATTCAACTTCACGCTCATGATTTGAACATTTTGATTCCTCTTTAAATTCGGCTACAGTTATGTGGGATGAATCCTAATTTGAATAATTTGGGGCCGGACTATAGTGGAGGAGAAAAACTAGCGGAGGCAAAGACGAACACGTTGTAACGGACGTAGAAGGCAGACTTTTTCGGTGAAAGCATCGTGGCCAATTTTCTGCTCTTTTCTAATTAGCATCATAAGCCGACACCAAACTTACCGGTACGTTTCATATCTGGAATTGGGTTTGACAAATTGAACATTCCTTTTTAACGGTTGGTTCTTCTTCTTGATCGGTGCTTGCATTTTAATATTTCCTTTTACTTTTTAGATTTTTTAGTAAGAATTAGAAGGCTTCAATCAATTTTAATCAGTACAAAAGAGATGAATGTTTCCACTGGAAAAAAGAAAGAAAAAAGCTGACCATGAATAGCTATTTCTCTCTCAATTAGTATAATTAATTAATAAATGGATGACGGATGAGTCATGGATTACCATTCCCCAGATGCACGCTACAATGCCAAATTTTAGAGTAAGGCTTTCTAAGGGGATGCATTTTTTTTCATCGATTTTTGTGAAGTTTTTTTTTTTTTTTTTTTTTGCTATTAATAGGCGGCAACTTAGAAATTCCTCTTCCACGTGAAGATTTGAAGGGGATTGCTTATGGCCCTTTGTTCTTATTTCACCGATGATCACATGAAAACTTATTTCACTGATCAAATAATAATCACTTTATTTTCTTTTTAAATTTGGGTGGCAATGCTTTTCACAAAAATTCAGAATATGGTAGAGGAAGAAAACATTCTAACTTTTGTTTTGATTGTGGAGAATACAGACAACAACATGGCCTTTCATTAATGCTGATTATCAGTTTCGATTGCACAAAATTTATGGGATACATACTTTCGCAGATGAAGTTAAAAGCCATGCTTCTACCAGAAAAGCAGCATTGCCTGCCTGCGAGCCTTTAGATTATTTACGGGTATGATGTCTTTGTAGATTGGGACTAATTACCAATGTGTGTGTATTTTTCAGGTTCTGCTTTTTTGGGCTGCATGAGTTTTGAGTCCTGGATGTCAATGATGATCCACTTAATAGAAAAATGGATATACACGGTGGAGGTATTGACATATCCTCTTTATTTTTTGACTTCATAATTTAGATTAAAATTTCAAATCAGTAACTATGTTTTGATTTGGTTCTGACACTAGATTGAAGTTGCAGATTCATCCTACGTCTTTGGCTAGAAGGCCAACTGCGAAAAAGAATTTGTGCGAAATCTTTCAGTTGTTAAATTGGTCCTTTTAGTTTTCAGCATTTCTTTGTTGGTGAATTCATACAATGCAGTGTCAACTACAACTAGAAAGAAATGATGGTTATCACATTTATGTCATTAAAGATACCATTCACAACTCAAATTTATGTAATTGATAGGATTTTTCATGCATTATTAATTTCTCTAGAAGAGAACAAATATATAGTAATAAGATTTATTTCAAGCTTATAGATGATCAAATTACAGCTTTATTTAGCATTAGCATTATTGTTGGAAATGCTATAAACCGTAAGATATAGATATCAGCATTTTCAGCATTATTTACCAGGTGAATACGTATCATGGGTTTTCCAGAGTCTCAATGTGGTCTTTTGATATTTTCCATATCCAAGTGAATAATCTATTTGCATGTGAAATAAGGAGGTCAATTTTTATCATGTATTGTTTTAACTAGCAATTGGCCTTGTAAGGTAAAGTTTATCTTTTTTTTTTATTTTGTTATCTTGAAATAAGGAGGTCAAATTTTATTAAAGAATGTTCTTTGATGATCACGATATACATTCTCAAGTAAATTTGTTTTCTTTATGATGAATATGGATAAAACGGGTCTATGCTTCTTTTTATGTAAGATTAATATGGATAAATGGGGAACTTTTTTTTGCACTGTCCTATTCTGTTTGTAGGGAAGTTTTGATCTTTGTATTTAAGCTTATGCTGTGATTGAGCTCACAGAAAGTGGTTCAGGACAGCTCTATGGTGGTTGCCAAGGTTGAAACCGATACAACTTTTGAAGCCGAATGGTTGGGGTATCAGGCAATCAGATCAGTTGATGAATGTGTTAATTAAATTGTAAAAATCATATTCCAAATAGTTACAGTTGCTGATACGGGTAGAAGTTGGTGGGAAATCATGAAGGGAATCATCAAAACTTCTCAGATTTTTGGGAAAAGTCTTTTTGTCGGTTTGAATGCTAATTTGAAGTCCATTTGGTTGCTGCAGAGCATGCATATACACCTAGAGTGAACGAGAAGTGTGATACATACAATTTTGGTGTTGTTTTTCTTAAGTTGGTAAGAACAAGACTTCTAGTTGATCCTGAATACGACGAGAAGGATTTTGTCAAGTGTATTTACACTGGATAAAGAGGAAATTAATTATGTAATTGATACAAAACTTGACTCTCTTACTTCAACAAAGAGATAGGGAAAGTCCTAAATGTAGGTATGCTCTGTAAAAGTGCCCTTCCGATTAATAGGCCATTCTACATTGTGATGCATATATTATCGTTTAAGAATGTATTTTTTAAGATTTGTTTTTTTATTTAACCGATTTAAAATACAGGCGGCATCTCGAGCATTCGCCCGGGGCAAACATCTATTCTAGATTGATTGAAAAGGAATTTGAGGAAAATATATATATATATATATATTTAAAATATAGTGAATCAACATCGGCATGAATAGGAAAATATATATATATATATATATTTAAAATTTAGTGAATCAACGTCGGCATGAATAGGAAAATATATATATATATATATATATATATATTTGGTTGCATGAATCAAAATGAGGATTCGAGGAGGAAAAGAGTGGTTGCGAGAAATAAAATGTGATACAATAATAATTATTTTAAGAAATGTAAGAAAAATCATTACATATTTATTTTATTTTTTGAAAAGAATTATATTAATGATTGTGGAAAAGATTAGGATTAGGGAGTCTATTTTGAGATTTATTTATTTATTTATTTATTTTTTGCGAAAAGTGGATAGATTTTTTTTCCTTTTCAATATATATATATATATATATATATATATAATATTAGAAATATTAAAAATTAGGGGCCCCAAATATTTAAGGACTAAAGGGGGGCTTCACCTACTGAACATTATCATGTTACGATGTAAACACTGTCAATATTATATTAGATAAATATGAGATATAAAAATTTAGAAGTGTAAAAATCCCTAGAAATGAACTTCATCAAATCTCTTGCGCAAATCAAATATATTGATAAGTCAATACTTCTTAACTTATCAAAGGTTTTTTTTTTTCGATTTCTTAGAAAATATATTGAAATTTTTTGTTATAGCAACAATACAAACAAAATATTTTTATAACTCTAATTTTTTTAGTTTAATAATAATTAAAAAAATCAAAGATGAAACCATTGATGAATTTTAAGGTAAGAAAAATATTTTATATTTTATCCTTGTACTTAAATAAAAGGCACAGTAGGCAAGAAATAACGCCCAAGAAATATTAACGATCACCGTCAAATCGATCTCGTCCCTCGGATGGGGTTGATATGATGTCAGCGACTTATTATGGGTAAAACAGGGATTTCATAAATCATCCCTATACTTAAATAAAAGGCACAGTAGGTAAGAAATAATGCCCAAGAAATATTCAAGGACCACCGTCAAATCGATCTTGTCCGTCGGATAGGGTTGATGTGATGTCAGCACTTATTAAGGGTAAAAATGGGAATTCTAAAATTCAATTTATTCCAATTAAAAAAAATCCGTAACCTTTTGAAAAAAACAAACCTCTAACCTAGAAAAGGATGTCGTTTCAGGATTTAATTTTGGAATCTCCACTCCTGAAAACAATATATTTACAAAACCTGAAAGTTTTTGGTTAAGAAAAAACAACAAAACGACTGCGTATTGTGGGTTTCTCTAGGGAAAAAAAATAAAAATAAATAAAAAATAACTCACACCGTTTAAAATCCCAAAACAGTTCCCGTCATTGTTCCCAATTTTTTTCCCACTAATAACCTCTATAAGGCTGTGCTCCGCTTGCTTAGTCAGGTCTCCCTTCGTCGATTCAGCCGCGACTGCCGCTTCCCTCTCTGCATGCTCCGCCACCACTAAACCTCGAAGATATATTTTCCTTAAACATGCTTCTCCAATTCGTACCATCCCAATTCCACCTTCATAAATTTAACCAAACAAAAACCTAAGTTCCACCGGAGTCACCCCGTCGAAGAGATTTTGCAAGAATGACTTCCTTCACTAGTACGAGATCAAATTCGCAGGGGAGCAACCGTATGTATCGTATCACGGTGGACATCATAACGGAGGAAGCGAGGCGGAGCTAGGTGTTTGGATGAAATAGGATTAAGAAATTACCTTTTTATTTGATTTGGAGTTGTATGTGTAATAGGACTAACAAATTACTGTTTAATTTTTATTTATATATTTCCATAAATTTGGAATTGTAATATGAATAGGCAATTCAATTCCTCTCTGATTCCAGATTTATTTTGGGATGAGAATAAAAATCCCCTGTCGGCCAGCATGTCTATAAAAACTTCTAGCAACCTCACAACTAGGATCACAAAAGGCTTCCTTCTTTAGCTTACCAGTTTCTTTGATTTCTTCGTCTTTGATTCAGGTAAATCTTTTTTAACTTTTTAATTTCTATTTTTTTTTACCTCTATACGGTAGAGAAAGCTTGAATATTTGTAAAGATTTTTCTCTGTTTTTTTTCCAAATCCTACAAACAGGTACTAATTTTGATTCCCTTATTTTTTTCGATTTTGAAGTTGTGAATTTGTTGTTAATTGAGCAAGGTTGTTGATAATTTTAATGGTTTGAAAACTAATAGACTGTCTTGGAAACAGATATTGCAATGGTTCGAGTTGTAGACTCAATTCCAGCCGAATTACATAAAGTCTCCTTCTCTCACAGGATATTAGCACAAGGGTAAGGTATATGTTTCTGATTTCTTTTCCCTACAAAAGGGCCTAATGGTGTAGGATGTTTGGAATATTTTTTAGAAAAAAACTCTAATCACAATGGCTCTATATCCGAAATTTGATTATCATGGGTTTGTTCACTTATTGTTGTCAATAGAAACAATTTATGTTCTGGCTTCTAGAATAATTTCTGCTTGTCCTTGGGAGAATGTTTTTAAGGAGTTATATTATTCTCTAGAGGTAGATCATAGTTAGACGAGAGGAAGCCGAAAAGTTTCGACTTGTGTCATGAGATTCAGTCAGAGGTTCTTGGAGAGGCAAAATCATGTGTTAGAAAATATATTTTGTAGTGTTCTGATTTTGTGAGATTAGTTTTACCTTTCTAGACCGATCTATATACAGGTGAATCTTTCAGCACCACTGATATTAACACTCAGAGCCGATGCCTTTTAGCTGATAGATAACTAATCAGGATAAGTTTCTCATGTCAAAACTTGTGCCTGAGTTTCAATGATTAATTTCTCATACAGTTTATTCAACAAGTCATAGGACTTGTATAGTGATCCATTTATGGTTCTTTGACAGTTCAGTTAGATTATTTTTCTGTGCATAAATAAATTTGATATAGTCATTGGATGTTATTCCTCTTCTGCTAACATGAGTTTTATTTTGAGATTACCATATATGAGGCTTCCATGTCGGTTATTTATTGGAACTTTTCTTCCTCACACACTGTATAACTTTTAACATACTTATCAATGAAGTAAATCTTTGATCAATCAATTGTCCAGTATAGTTTTTGAATGGTAGAGTACTTAAAGTTTTGGTTACCTGTGTTTTGCATCATTGGTATGATCTGCTTGCCCTTTTGTTAAAAGAAAAGTTCAATTTTCTCTGCCAAGTGAACTGGTAGCAATGTCCAAGTTGCTGCTTTAGCAGAATCTAGAAATAGACTGTATTGCGATATTCTATTGTTATTTCATGTGATCTTTTTTGTTTTTACTGAAGAACATACAATCTCCAAGTTATAATATTACTAAATGTTTATGGTTTCCTCTGTCTGCAGATTCCGATGTATGATTGTCTGAAGAATTTGTATTTTACGTTTCTTTTTGTTATTTGAGCTACTGGGAATCTAATAAGGATCATCACAGTCCTTGATCTGCTACATGCTTTACAATCTAAAACTTCTAGCTCTATGTCCACTTCCGTTTGGTGAAACTAAGTTGTGGCAAGGCTAAAGTGGATGTGAACTGAAGTAGTAGATTCAGAAACAGTTCGAGAACATCAGTGCGCTAATGCACTATGTTAGATGATAAAAATGTTGCCTTTGGGAAAGTTACAGATTCTTGGCCGTGATATAACAATCTAGAGTTTGGCAAGTAAAAAGGAGACCAAGTGATATTGGTACTATCCCCTGCTGTGTACTTGAAACTTCTTGCCTCCAGCTTGAAACAACAACCTGATAGAATAACTGAGAGCTTGGCTAGGATGAGATTTGACAGCTTTCTGTGTCTGAGAATTGAGTTGTGATAAGTAACTTAATAGTCCCCTTAGTTTTTTGTTCTATTTTTATTTGTGAAATACTACAAGTCCAACAATTTTGGCCATCACTTTAGATACGATGTTTGAGTTAAAAGTTTATTATTGCTATTGAAAAATAGTCATCTGTTTCCTGTCATTGAGGTAACTTATGCAACATACCAACTTTCTTTGACTGAAGAAGTTACAGTCTCTAAGCTAGATTGCTAACAGTGATAGAACAAAAGCTATCAAAAGCAAATTTTAATTTTTGACTTTTTGGCTAATTTTATCTAAAGTTACTCACACCCTCTAACTTTGCAAGAAGATTATCCATGCGTCAAAATTGAATTGAAAGACCATATTACCAAAAAAAATAAAAATAAAAATTGAAAGACCACAAAATTAAAATAAATCAACCTACCTTTTCCAACACTTTCATGGAAGCACATGATATATTACACAAGTACTAATTTGATCTTCTATTTTATTTCCTTGCGTTTTGATATATTTTTTAATCATTTTGTAGGATACTGTATGTATTAGGATAAACAACGTAATAATCCCATCAAAAGAAGTATACTTAACAAAGTCCTATAAAAGCATGTATCTACAACTATTACGCGTTAAGATAGATTATTACTAATATTTATCGTAATAGAGTTAAATGATATTTAAAAAACACTTGTCACGCAACGCGCGATAAGTAAAAGACTAGTTAAATTATATGTGTTTCGGTTTCATGCGCCATATTGTTTTGCTTTTTAGTGGATTTAACATATATATATATATATATAGCAAAAACTTTATAAATTAGTAGTGTTGGATTCATATAAATTGATTTATTTATAGATATTATTTTATCGAATAATATCTGTAAAAATTTGAATTAAAAATATGTTTTAAAAAAATATGTTTCAAGGCTTTTCTTTTTCAAAATGATGTTTTAAAAAAACTTTAAATTTTTTTATAAACGCATTTTAAACTCTAAACAAACTTTTTAACTTTAAGAATCTTTTTAAAAACTCTTGTCCAAACGGAGCCTAATGCATTCCAAGTTTGCATTCGAATTGTAACGAAAAAAAGGCTGACCAGCATATCAATATCAATCAATACTAATTACTAACATTTAAAAAATGACACTGCTAATGGGAAGTAATTAGCTTCTGAATTTTAAAACTAATAATTTATCATTTCAACCTTACACAATAATAATGTCTAAAATCCCAGGCAACACAAACTAAATATCAGTGCATTACCAAAAGTAAGCAACACATAGATATAGTCTTGAGGAAATCCCTGTGGTCCACCACAAAAGGAGGCCATAAGATAAAACCACATCATTAAATAAAAGCAGACAAAGAAGAAAAGAAGCCACCACATCACTCCTCGGTTTTCATATCTTTTAGATCATAAAGTAATAGAATGTGTGCCCCTCTCCTTAGTAATAGATGTAACTCTTTACCCTCTCATCAGCTTCTTCACGTAAGTACTTCTTTTGCCATTCCCCTATATCATAGTCCACGAGTACATGTTTAACCCCATCACTTCCGACGTGGAAAACTGATACAGGAAAAAAGAAAATATTATCATCAGGAAAGGGGGGACATGGAGGAATATATATACAAGAATGAAAGTGGCCCGGAAATCACAAACTTACCACTGCAAAATTTACGGCTTTCAGGAACTAGTAAAGCAGCACGACACAGAGCATCTCGGGCCAACTCTATAGCTTCAGTCACGGACATATTATAACGGACTGATTTACCTGAACCCCTCTTCGAGAGGAAACGGGGTGAGCGGAAATCGGATGAATCGCGACTATAAACGAAAAAACAGAAACAGGTTCATAAGACAAAAGTCAGACGAAATTTCAAAACCTCATCAGAAAGTAGAACCGAACACAAATTGGAAAGTAAAATATGTAGTCTGATGAATCCTAAACATTAAAAAAGACCAGCACTAGCCATGTTTGCCCGTTAAAAACCAAAACTAATCATAGGGAAGGGCCATACGGGCTAAGATAAGCACAGCCGTGTGCAGCAATTCCTGAGCCGATGGCTGGTCTACTACACATTCTCCCTTGAGCATGCACATGATACAGGGCAGGTCCCTACAGGGAAACAAACCATGATCCGTGTTAAATAAAAGTCAGGAAAAATAAAAACGAAAAAAGCATCCAAAGATTTACCGATTCGTTGTCCCACCCAGCGATTAGAACTTCCACTGACAAGGCATAATCAGAGCAAGGATTACAAGTCAGATGGTCAGCCAGCCACTTTGATGCTTCTGCTGCAGAGGCTCTTCTCCCTTCTTCGAGTTGAAAACGCTGGCACTAAAGCACATACAGTGTCCACAAGAATTCAAACAGCCAATCTTTCTTAGACTGCAGTTGAGCCATTTCTAAGGTAAGATATAACATTCACAATGTACAGTAACGGCAAGTACCTTAAGCTGAAGAAAATGAATCAAACCTTGGCACTGAAACTTGTCAACTCCACAAACCACGGCAAGCAGATGCGAATTAAGAACCCTAGAGTTTTCTGGAGATAATATATTTGAATGATCAAGGGATACCATAACCCCTTCATCATTGAAAATAAAACCTAACGATGTTCCCATTCGATACTGACGACCACAACCACCAACCATCTATAAGCAAAACAACCACCAAAAATAAATAAATACAAAAAACAAATCACGAAAGAAAGAACCCCAAACACCCCCCAACTTAAAAAAATACCACACGAGCGCAATTTCAAAAGATTGACCATATGTGTGTAATCAAATCCCAGTGAGCTAGCTATCCCACGATCTGCTGTTTCTATAGCTCTCCAGCTTTGATCAAGTGCTTCATTAAAGAGCCACGATGTAACACCACTAGTTCCAACATGGAAAACTTGGATACAGGAAAAACGAAGACAATCACCAGGCGTGAAAAATGATATAAGAACAAATGCTGACAAGAGATCGCAAACTTACCACTGAAACATTCACCACTTCCACTGAAAATTATAAAAACGACCCTAAAAATTTGTAAAAATAACCAAATAGTCTTTTTGCACTTTTTTTTTTGTTTTCTATTTATTTTTATCATTTCTCATAACTATAAAAATATATTATATGATCTTTTTAAAAAAACTATTTATTTTAAAACACTACTGTGCAAATTTATAAATATGTATATTTGTAACTCATGGTTGATTTACATAAACATATTAATTTTTTAATAATATAACTTGACAATAATGATTTAGTTTTTTAATCCTTTTTTCAATTTAAGGAATAATATTTTTTAACTAAAAACCAATTTTTTACAAAAAAGTAAAACATTTAGCATAGATTAAAAATTAATATATTAGTACATTTTAATTTATTACAAATTGAATAAACAAACTATAGATTGTATTATATAATTCAAAAAATTACTAAACTAAAATATAGTGTACAATCTAGTGTTTAGGGTGTTGAGCTTCATGATAGTAAATATAAGATTAATTCTCACCAAGGATTTTTAACCGGGAGAGCGATTTTATTCACATTTATGCATGGTTGTTGTTCATGTGATGAAATAAAATTTCACCATTTCATCAAAAAAATAATAATAATAATAGACATGCACTTCTCTATGGGCGATTTCACTTTTTACTGCGTGCAATTTTCTTCCAACGCTACCGGCCACTTCACCACGCGTGCAATGGCGAGGCAGTCGAGGAAGAAGCAGGGAAAAATGGTCGAGAGTGAACCCGAACAACCTGCAGAGTTATACAATGGTTCAACAGGCTGGAATTTCAGATCACAACCCTTTCGTGATCTGGATGCAACATGAGGAGCACAAGCAGAAAAAGGCTTTTAAGTACTTTAATATGTGGGGAAATTACCCACGATTTAAAGACTTGGTAGCTAAAGAATGGCAGCAAGAAATACCTGGAACTAAGAAGTATCAGGTGGCAAAGAAGTAACAGTTGGTCAAAGAAGAATTGATTTAACTAAATAGCAGAGAATGTGCTGACATTGAGCAACAAGAAAAAGAAGCGAAGGAAAAAATAGAGATGATACAGAAGCAACTTGATAATAAACCAGAGGACTTGAGTTTACAACAAGAGGAAAAAGAAGTTGTAGAGACTTATATAATGAAGAGCAAGGATGCCATGAGTTGCAGGAAATAGAAACTTTAAAAATGTTGGATTAAGGAAGGGGATCTCAATACAACGTTCTTCTATGCTGCAATCAGAGGTAGAAGAGCTCAAAATAGGATTATATCCTTCACAAATCCATATGGAAGCATAGAGACAGAATGGAGTAAGGTGGAAAAGCACTTTATTGAGTACTTTGAAGATCTAATGGGGAAGAAATAGCAGAGAATGCCATCAGAATTGTAGTGCAGAGACAAGGGAAGAGACTGGACATCCACCAACAGCTGAGTAGAGACAAGGGAAGAGACTGGACATCCACCAACAGCTGAGTTTAATAAAGGAAGTCACCAGAATTGAAGTTCAACAGGCCATGATGGACATTGATGCAAATAAGAGCACTGGCCCAGATGGATTTGGCAGTGGCTTCTACAAGAAAGCATGGGGGGTTATAGGAAATGATGTTGTTGATGTTGTATTAGAGTTCTTTCACACTGGAAACTTTTAGCACAGTTTAACAACACTATCATTTCATTGATCCCTAAAAATGATAACCCTAGTACATCAATGGAATAACAGCCAATATCGTGTTGTAACACGATCTATAAGTGTATCTCCAAAGTTTTATGCAACAGGCTGAGCAAGATTGTTCCTCAGATTGTGGATATGAATCAAGGTGCTTTTATCAAAGATATGAAGATAGCATAATATTTTATTAACGCAGGAGCTCATAAGGTTGTACAGAAGGCAATCAATGGGGAAAAGCTGCTTAATGAAAGTTGAACTCCGAAAGTCTTATGACACGGTTAGCTAGGAGTTTGTTCAGGAGATGTTAGAAGCCTGTTGCTTTCCAGTGCAATTCATCAAGTGGCTGTTGGTATGCATAACCAGTTGCTCTTACTCTTTAAATTTAAATAGATGCAGTGTAGGTTATTTTGCAGGTAAGAGAGGCCTTCGACAAGGGGATCCCATCTCTCCCCTCGTCTTTGTGCTTGTGATGGATTACCTCACCAGGGCTTTCCAAATAAAAGCAGCTCAGAAGGAGATCATGTACCATCCAAAATGCCAAAAGTTGGGAATAGTCAACTTAGGGTTTGCGGATGACTTGGTTATCCTTAATGCAGCAGAGGAGGAATCTGTCAAGGAAGTTAAAGAAGTACTAGTGCAGTTTGGTGATATAACTGGATTAACAGTGAACCATGCAAAATCCTGTCTATATTATGCTGGTATAAGTAAAGAGATGGAGGAAAAGTTATAGCAGTAGATGGAATTTGAGCTTGGTAAGTTCCCAATGGATTATCTAGGACTGCCTATCTCTACTTCAAAGTGGACAAATAATGATTGCCAGAAGCTGGTGGAGAAAATCACTGAAAGGATCAAGATTTGGGGAACCCGACATCTCTCTTACGTAGGACGATTACAGTTAATAAACTATGTTTTAATGAGCATGCACATTTACTGGGATAATACTTTCATGGTTCCAAGTAGTATTCTTACTCCGGTAACCAGGGTTTGCAGGGACTTTCTTTGCGGAAAAAATGAAGCTGGCCACAGTTTTGCATTGGTGGCTTGGACTGAACTTTGTAAACCAAAGAAAGAGGGTGAATTAGGAATCAAGGAACCATTAGCCTGGAATAAAGCAGCAGTGGCAAAACAGATTTGGGATTTGGCTACTAATAAGGATGTGTTGTGGATCAAGTGGGTCAATGAATTCTATTTAAAAGGAAAAACCATATGGGATTATGAAGTTCCTCAGGATGGTAGTTGGCGATGGAAAGCTCTCATCATAGTGAAAAACAAGATTAAGGATGGAATAGAGGCTGGAATTTGGAAGCTGGATGATGAAGTCTACACAATCTAAGGAGGATATGAGTTCTGGAGGAGTAAAGGGCAGAAATACAGAGATGCTGAGATTATATGGCATAGAAGCTGTTTACCCAAACACAACTTTATTGGATGGCTAGCAATTCAAGATCGACTGTTGACAGTGGCTATATTAAAGAGAATGAATATCCAGGTGCAGGACACAGATTGCTGTTTGTGTAATGAAAGAATTGAAGAAACAGGGACTCATCTGTTTTTCCAATGCTCATATAAAAAGCAATTGCTGACTGGTTTATTGATGTGGCTGGAAATTGATATGTAGCAGAGAGATCTGAAGAGAATAGTAGCAAGAATCATAATCGGTTACAAGTTTAAAAACTAAATAATATTGGAACTATAACTCCATTGAAAGTAAATGATGATAGATTAGTATTTTAACCAAGTATTTATTGTCTTCTTAAATTTTGTGCAATTCCTCCAACGGTATCTATTTTGAAGTGGAAGTAGTATCATTTAATAACAACTAAAACTTATGCATCTACTACCAGACAAATTATTTATAAATAATTAATAAAAACACACTAATTATTTATAAATTAAAGAATTAATTTACTACCAACTAAAAAAATAATCTAAATATTTAAATTAAAATTTATTTATTTATCATCGGAGTATCTACCCATCCTGAGATTTTTTTTTTTTTTTGATATGAAATATAAAATACGTTGAAACAAATAAGTAAAAAGCATGGTAAAAATTATAAAATACTTTATAATAGCATAAAAAATTAACTTAAATATTTAGAGAATTTTTTTGATAAACTAGGTCGTTTTTTGTCGCGCAATATTTTTATATAAATTATAAGATTTAAAACAAATAGCAAAGTAAAAAATGGAAAAAAGGAGCAATACAAAAATAATTATGTAGCAAAGGAGAATATTATTATAATTGAGTAGCAATACAGAAATGCAACGAAGGATAATATTTTTAGCAGCACTGCTGGTTACATCAAATACATCAAAATAATACTTTATAGATATTACAAAGCACCTAACATTCTTGTTGACAAAAATGTAATTTGGAATCTATCTATTCCAATTTGCAGCAGCCCTAGTTGATAATGCATCAAAGTGATATTAAACCATTCGTTCGCCCCTAGTGCATCATTTGCAGCAAGTTAGCAACTTCAGCCCCGAATATGATTGTTTGTTTGTTAGGTTTTTTTTTTTTATGGTATTTTCAAAATATTTAAATAATAACTGTCTCATCACAACATACCTTTTTACATTTTTAATGCATATTTTTATATTCTCAATACAAAAAACACTTAAAACACACACTAAAAAAACGCAACAAACATAAAGCTCTGCAGTACCTTCCTTTCTCCTTATCTTCCAACAAAACAAAGCTCCTAGCACTTAATCGGAATTAAAGAATTAAATTTAGACAACATACACATGTATAATTGGGTAACTAAGATAACAAAGTATCAGAAAAAAATCAATCAGCCGGCTGAAATAGGAGAAGAGACTTTCCTCATTTACACATTAGTTAATAAAAAATTACTTATCAATAAATGTTAACCTTACTTTCCTCTTCTAATTCCATTTTATATCTGCTTCAACACCACTCCCTCATGCACATGAGAAGAGAACAGTCACATCAACTTTGAATCCTGTACCAGCGTAATAGTCTCTGCAAAAGGAAACGCCTTTGCTATAAAAATCCCATATGTATGTAGTCATAGATCAGATCTATATCATACACCATTTTCAGAACTAAAAATGCCATGTCTACCAAGACCAAAATTAGCCAAGAATTTATCAGACTAAACCCTTCTCCACAAAGGCTTACTCAATTTTGAGTGCCAAAGATCATACAGAATGGAAGTATA